GTTATAAAGCATTCTCCTATGTTGTTTTCTAATTGTTTTATAGTTTCAGGTTTTACATTTAAGTCTGTAATCTGTTTTAAGCTGCATTTTATATATGGTGAGAGATAAGGGTCTAATTTTATTCTTCTGAATGTGAATATCCAATTTCCCTACACCATTTCTTGAAGAAGCTGTCCTTTTCCCATTGTGTGATCTTGGCATCTTTGTTGAAAATCACGTAACTGTAAATTTATAGATTTAATTCTGGTATCTCTGTTATATTCCATTGGCTTCTATGTCTATTTCTATGCCAGTACCATGCTATTTTGTTTACTATAGCTTTGTGGTAGTGTATTTTGAAGCCTGTGATGTAATGTCTTCATGTTTCTTCTTTTTACTCAAAATTGCTATGGCTATTTGGTATTTTTTTGTGGTGTCATAAGAATTGTAGTTTTTTTTTTTCTGTGTATATGAGGGATGTCATCGGTATTTTGATAGGGATTGCATAAAATCTGTAGATCGCTTTAGGGAGTATGGACATTTTTTTTTATTCTTCCAAAATGAACTCAGGATATATTTCCATTTATTTGTGTTTTACTTCAATTTTTTAATCAATGATTTATAGTTTAAAGTACGGAAATCATTAACCTCCTTAGTTAAATTTATTCCTAAGTATTTTATTTTATATTTTTACCTATTGAGAATGAAATTCTTTTCTTGACTTATTTTTATAGCTGAAGAATTAGTATACAGAAATGCTATTGATTTGTATGTTGATTTTATATCCTGCAAGTTTTCTAAATTTGTTAATCAGTTCTACAAGATTTTGGTAGAATCTTTAGAGTTTTCTATATATGATAACATGTCACCTTTAAGCAGTGACAGTTTAACTTCCTCCTTTCCAATTTGGATGCCTTTTTTTTTTCTTGCTTAATTGTTCTGGCTAAAACTTCCAGTACTATGTTGAATATGAGTGCCTAGAGTGGACACTCTTTTCTTTTTCTTTATCTTAGGGGAAGAGCTTTCAACTTGGCCTCATTCAGCAGAAAGTTAGCAGTGAGATTTTCATATAGGGTGGATCACCTGAGGTCAGGAGTTCAAGACCAGCCTGGCCAACATGGTGAAACCCCATTCCTACTAAAAATACAAAAATTAGCTGGGCGTGGTGGTGTACACCTGTAGTCCCAGCTACTTGGGAGGCTGAGGCAGGAAAATGGCTTGAACCTGGGAGATGCCGGTTGCAGTGAGCCAAGATCAACACCACTGCATTCCAGCCTTGGTAGCAGAGTGAGTCTCAGTCAGTCTCAAAAACAAAAAAATCCATAGCATTCCTATTCACCAAAAATATCCAAGCTGATAGCCAAATGGGAACAAAATTCTGTTCACAATAGCTAAAAGAAAAAAGAATAAAATACCTAGGAATACAACTATCACAGAGGTGAAAGATCTCTACAAGGAGAATTACAAAATACTGATTAAAGAAATCAAAGACGACATAAACAAATGGAAAAAAACTCCATGTTCATGGATAGGCAGAATCAGCACTATTAAAATGGCTATAGTGCTCAAAGCAATTTACAGATCCAATGCTATTCCTATCAAACTATCAATGAAATTCTTCATAGAATTTAAAAAGATTTTTAAATTTATGTAGAACCAGAAAAGAGCCCTAATAGCCAAGGCAATCCTAAGCAAAAGGAACAAAAATGAAGGGATCATATTACCTGACATCAAACTATACGAGATTTTAGTAACCAAAACAGCATAATACTGGTACAAAAACAGACACATAGAGCAATGGGACAGAATAGAAAGCCCCCAAAGTAATGCCAACCACCTATACCATCATCTTTGACAAATCCTGACAAAAACAAGCAATGGGAAAGGACTCCCTATTCAATAAATGGTTCTGGGGTAACTGACCAGGCATATGCAGAAGATTGAAACTAGATCTCTTCTTTACACCATATAAAAAACCGACTCAGGATACATAAATACTTAAATGTAAAACCTAAAACTTTAAAAACTCTGGAAGATAACCTAGGAAATAATACCATTCTGGTCATAGACCCTGGCAAAGATTTTATGATGAAGACACCAAAAGCAATTGCAACAAAACCAAGAATTGAGAAATGGGACCTAATTAAAATAGCAATAGCTTCTGCACAGCAAAAGGAATTATCAACAGTGTAAGCAGACAATATACAGAATGGGAGAAAATCTTTGCCAAGTATGCACCTGATGAAGTTATAATAGCCAGGGTCAATAAAGAAGTTGAACAATTTAACAGGTGTAAAACAAACAACCCCATTAAAAAGTAGACAAAGGATGTGAACAGACACTTTTAAAAAGAAAGTATGTAGACTGGCAACAAGCATATGAAAAGATTCTCAGCATCACTGTTTATTAGAGAAATGCAAGTCAAAACCACAATGAGATGCCATTATCACACCCATCAGAATACCTATTATTAAAAAGTCAAAAAATAACAGATGGTGGCAAGGTTGCAGAGAAAAGGGAATGCGAAGACACTGATGGTGGGAATGAAAATTAGTTTAGCCATTGTGGAAAGTCATTTAGCAATTTCTCAAAGAACTTAAAATATAAGTATCATTTGACCTGGAAATCTCATTTTTGAGTATATATCCAAAGGAATATAACTTGTTCCTACCATAAAGGCACATGAAAATGTATGTTCATTTGTTTATTTATTTATGATATATTTGATTATTTTCAGTTATATTATTTTCATTTGGTTCTTCATAACTTCTGTTTCTTTGCTGGTATGTTTTATTGTTTGTTAATTTTTTTTCAAGCAGCACTATTCATCATTGCAAAGAGTTGAAGCCAACCTAAATGTCCATCAATGTTGGACTGGATAAAGAAAATGTGGTACATATACACCATGAAACACCATGCAGCAATAAAAAGGGATGAGATCATGTCCTTTGCAGGAACATGGATGGAGCTGGAGGTTGTCATTCTAAGCAAAATAACTAGAGAGGGCTAAGTACCAAATGTTCTCATTTACATGTGGGAGCTAAACATTGAGTCAATTTAGACACAAAGAAAATAACAACAGAGACTACTTGAGGGTAGAGAGAGAGAGGAGTGTGAGGACTGAAAAACTACCTATCAGCTACTATGCTTATTATCTGGGTGACAAAAAAATGTGCACACTAATCCCTTGTGACATGCACTTCACCTGTAGATCAAACCTGTACATGTATTTCTGAACCTAAAATAAAAGTTAAAAAGAATGCTCTTAGAAAGAAGAAATACAATAATATGTACTTAATCTAATAAACAGCATCTGTGAAAAAATTCCTACATTAAACTTCGTGTTTCATGGTGAAATATCAAGAGATACCCTTTTGAATCTGGATGAAGTGTATTTAGAAATACTTAAAAAATTTTCGTGAGGTTCTTATAAGCCTGAAAGTGTATGAAAATTTTAAAAATAATATAAAATAAAAAGCTATCAGGAGCAAAACCAAAACGAAACACATTCCTTAACCTTAATCAATCAATAAATCAGCTGGTGTTTCTCTTATAGGTAACCTCTTGTTTCTCTCTAGTTGTCATTAAGATTCCTTCTTTGTCTTTAGTTTTCAAACCTTTACTTGTGATGTGGTTTGTTGCAGATTTATTTATGTTTATCCTATGTGGGGTTTTCTAATCTTTTTGAATTTGTAGATTTATGCCTTCCACCAAATCTTGGATAGTTATGGCCATTATTTCTTCCAATACTTTTTGTGTTCCACATTCATTTTCTTTTGAGACTTTGAATATATGAATGGTAGATCTTCTTCTTATGTTATTTCCCCACAGATCCATGAGATACCTTACATTTTATTATTTTCAGTATTCCTTTGCTGTTTTGTTTTTTTTCAGGGAAAAAACTTTCTTCCCTGTCTAGCCCATACTGTGACTTTCCTAGCTCTGTAGAAAACCGTACATACTGTACTCTTAGAAAATGAGAGTGGATATACAGTGTTTCTACCATAAAAATGATAATTATGTGAGGTAATACATATATTAATTAACTAAATTTAGTCACTCCGCAATGCATCTCTGCTTCAGAATGTTAGGCTGTAAACAATAACACGTAAATTTTATGTCAGTTTTTTTTAATTACAAAAAGAAATGAATGTAAATTGATCACAAAAAGATGTCATAAAGAAGAATAAATAAAATCAGAGCACAAGATCAACAAATTTTATAAACCTAACAAAATAGCCTAAATAATAAACCAATAGTATTCTATTTGCAGACATATCAAATATGTAAATACCTTAATAAACTTGAAAATGCATACATTTAACTAATACTGTATGTTATACTCTCCCAATAAGAGAGTGGAGACTATTACCAGCACATAGAAAACAACTTAAAAATTGACCATTTATTTCACCCTAAAAATAAGTCTCAATAAATTCCAAAGAGTCAAAAAATTACAAGTATTGTGGAATGTGTAATATATGTATGCACATGTGCATGTATGTATATCTGTACATATAGGTACATATGTGTGTGAGTGCACATTTGTATGTAAGACCATTATGAAGTTATCTCTAGATTATATTAAGTAAAAAAAATATGCAGAAAGTGACATATTTGCTTATATTGCAGTTTATGTTATATATATCATATAATAAAATATTATATATATACATATATCTGTAAGAAATACCTAATGTAGATGACAGGTTGATGGGTACAGCAGACCACCATGGCATATGTATACCTATGTGCAGAATATGCAGGTTTGTTATATAGGTATACATGTGCCATGGTGGTCTGCTGCACCCATCAACCCATAATCTACGTTAGGTATCTCTCCTAATGCTATCCCTCCCCTATCCCCCCACCCCCCGACAGGCCCTGGTGTGCGATGTTCCCCTTCCTGTGCTCATATGTTCTCATTGTTCAGCTCCCACTTATGAGTGAGAACTTGGCTGTTTGGTTTTCTGTTCCTGTGTTAGTTTGCTGAGAATGATGGTTTCCAGCTTCATCCATGTCCCCACAAAGGATATGAACTCATTTTTTTATGACTGCATAATATTCCATGATATATATGTGCGACAATTTCTCCAATGAAATCTAAATAACTTAATGAGGTTGAATCCCAGAGTAGATGCCTCATTATTACAATGCTCCAAGCAAATTAACCCAGCCTATTCAGGAAGGGAAAATTTATCACACACACTACTTTTCTTCCTCTCACATTCACATAACAACAAATAAACAGCACAAAATACATAAAATGTTTTGTGATATTTGCATGTATGATGTGCTCATGCCCTTATAGGCAAATATTTGTGTATATGCATATATAAATATTAGAAGTTATGTACACATTTTTGGAAAATGTTGGGATATACATTATATATATTTATGTGAGTGTATTGCATATATTGCTTTATGAATATTCTTCACATAAGAGTACAGAATTTTGGAGATAATGAGACTGCTAGGAAGAAGGCAGGAATAAGAGGGGAAATTTGGAATGGAGGTAACTATGAAAGATCAGTAAAATCTGAGATGCTCTAGAAAATGGTTCTAGAGTAGATAGGTGATGTCCCACATCAAAACTACTAGTGTTTCAGAAATGCAAACACCTTCCTAATCCCTGTCTGCATCTCCCTATTCTGGAAGCTGTACACTGTTGGGTTTAATGTGGGAGTCACAAGAGTATAGAGTGCAGCTACCACCTTGTCTCTTTCAAATATATAGCTGGAAGCAGGACGGATATAGGTGTAGATCACAGGAGAATAGTAAAGAGACACAACTATGAGATGGGATGAGCATGTTGAGAAGGCCTTCCTCTTGCCTTCTAATGTGCGGATACGGAGAATAGCAGCAATGATAAAACCATAGGAGATGCAGGTAAGAATAAAGTCCTCTATGGCCAGGGTAATGTCAGCGACATATGCCATCACCTCATTGATTCTTACAGGGCTGCAGTACAAAGCTAGCAATGGGGGTATCTCACAGAAGAAGTGGTCAATGGTGTTTGGCCCATAGAAAGTCAACCTCATGATGAGAGCTGTGTGCACCCAAGAATTGGTGACTGCAATAGCCATGACCATGCTGAGCAAGGCTACACACATATGGTGGCTCATAATAGTACTATAATGAAGAGGGAAACAAATGGCTACATAGCGGTCATAGGCCATGGTGGTGAAGAGAACCATCTCAGCTCCCAGAGACCATATGAAGAAGAAGAGCTGTGACATGCAGCCTGCATATGAAATGGTGTTTTCTGATTTTAGCATGGTCCCTAGCATCTTTGGTATGATGCTTGTTGTGCAGATGTTGTCCACAATAGCCAGTGTGAGAAGGAAAATATACATGGGCGTATGCAAGGTGTTGTTATAGATTATGGCGGTGATGATGAGCATGTTGCCAAGAAAAGCCACGAGATAGATGATGAGAAAAATGAGGAAGATAATTCCCTGGAGTTCAGGCTTTTTGGTGAAGCCCAGAATAATGAACTCAGTTACAATACTGTGATTCATCCTGCTTGGGTGATTGAATGGCAGTAATTGCACAGAGTGAACAACCGAAAATTGAAATAATCTGTGTGTTATTATTAGGAGATAACATGAGAGGTGTGTGTATCTAGGGACTTAATTCTCCATTGGACACAATTTTGCAGGATGAATTCCCCGATGATGGAGATCTGTATTCCAGGCAATATCCTCTGTTTTCCAGACAAATCCCATTCTCTAATGTATGTTCCTCCATGGATGACTCAGATAAACTGAAGCCAGTGGTTGAGAAGAAAAATATTTTAAAAATACCTTTAAATATTTTGATATATTCACTTGAAACTTGTCTTAATACATACATACATACATACACACACACGCACATGTGTGCATATTCTGGATATACATATATATTTAATGGAACTATAATACAAATTATTGCATATCTCACTAATTTAGTTAATTCCATGGTACATTTAAATGTCCTTGAGATATATGCGAGTGAAGATACTTGAAATAATACAAGCTGACAGGGCTAATTATAGTGGGGATATTTCAGATGAAAAATGCCCAACCTATATTTTGAGGCTATATATTAATGGGAACATTGACTAGTGTATCTAATCCAAATACTAAACAATTTAACCAAATGTCTGTGCTAGTAGTTTTTCATCAGTTTGAGAAGCACATTGCCAAAATTGACTGAACCAGCTATTTATTGTTATATAATGTCAAGGTAATTGGATTTAAAAATATAAAATGTAGGGTTGTGTCTTAATTTCATTATAGCTATAAACTTGCCATTTAAGCTCCATGAGATTTAAATTTATTATTTCTAAAAATTGAATAAATTGATATAAATATTAGATGTTAGACAGATGGAGCCACTGTTTCTAAAGCATACTCAAGGATAAATGGCAACTGGAAAGTTTTCTGGAAAATAATTGCTAGGACACAAGAGAAATTTGTGTCCTATGTTATTTCCCCTGAAAACTTCTATAGCATTACATTTTCTGTTTTCTTTTACTATCTTTTCTAAAAGAGATCCTCATCTCTTGCCCAGGCTGGTCTCAAACTCCCAGTCTCAAGAGATCCTCCTGTCTTGGCCTCCCAAACTGCAGGGATTACAGGCGTGAGCCACTGCACCTGGTTGCTGTCGGTTTTCTTTTATGCTTATTTATTTTGGTACATTTTTATGCACAGACAGTTACATGAATTGATGGCTTTTAGAACTATTATGATTGGACGAATCTAGTGAAAGTATTCAAAGTAGTTGTGAATTTATTCATAAATTTATGTTTATAAATGTTCTTTAAGTTTTCAGAGATCATACTGTACCTCTGATATCTAAACAGAGACATAAATAAAAACAATTTTTGAATGTGGGTCCACAAATTTAGTCTGTTTTGCTTTCTCAGGCCTTGTACACTCAATAATTTGTTAAATAAATTTTAGCTACTGACATATTCATCTTTAACTATTTAGAGGAAAAAATAGAGCTTTTGTTTAATCCATAATCTATTTCAGAATGTCTAGCTTTAGTATTAATTTACCCATACTGAAGGAATGTTACAGCCACCATTATTTGGGTCTTTGGCATGTTACAGGCTCTATGTTAGGTCCTCTGCAGAGGTGATATAATTTTGTCCTCACAAGCACATTGAGTCTTTAATATTTTTATCTTTATATAGTTGATAAGCAAAGAATGCATGGGAGTTAAAATAATAGTAGGTAGATTATATGTCTCATAAGTGGAAAAGCCAGGATTAACATCAAGATCATCTGACTCCAAATAATTTGCTATTAACCTCTCTGCTATATACCTTCAGACAAAACACCAAATAATATGGCAAATGTACACAACAACTAAAAACTATAAGAGAGATCTGAAAGAATATGAATTTTTTATTTTGAATTTGAGATGATTTTGAAGAGGTAAATATAGACAAGATAGTTGATTCTTGAAATCAAATGTTAGAATATTTGAAAGATCTGATACTGAAGTGATATTAACCTATTTAAAAAATACTGTATGTTGAATATGTTTTCAAATATTAAGAGGATGTGGTCTGGTCATTTCATCTTAATCATAGATCTGATATCAAAGCTTCTTGAGGTAAATTTATAAGATAACAAACCCCTTTCAGCCTATGTGGTCTTAATCACTAAAAACAGGCACTCAAATATAAACTCAGCTTTCATTGTTGAAGAAAAAAGCTTTTTTTTTTTCTTCTTGGAAAACTGTTACTTATTAATAATAAGTACTGCAATTTATCAATGTTATTTATCCATGTAACTGTTACTGATCAATTTTCCTAAAGCAGGATATGGAGAAGGAGATTGCAGTCTCAAGTACACAAAGGCAAATTTCACAAAATTCTTAAAGTTTGTAGGAGATAGAAAAGTACACCCCTGTTCCACCATCTCTAAGTTAAGAAAAAGGTGAAGGAACCTGAGGATTCTGTTTCTCTTATCTTCTTGTAATACCCTCATCTCCTTCACTGGAGTTATGACATTGGTTTGTTTGACTTCGTTCTCAGTGCTGGTTCCTTGGTTTGGCTGGTTATTGTATGTGAAGGATGCTGAACCTGGAATGATACTATGACAAGTTCACTGTGAGGAGGGGGTATCTACTGACTGAAAAACTTGTACAGGATGTCCACCATTGGCTTAGGTGGAGATATACTGTCTTCTACACATAGGTGTCCAAACAGTGGTCAATAGCTTCTCTTGAAATTCTGCAACTGATATTAGTCTGACTTGATGCTACTGTAGGTTCCAGAAAAGCCACAGTAGCCAGAAGAAGAGGGCCTGCCTGCATCAGCAGGAAAGTGTATTTCTCCAGAAATGGAAAGTCTACTTGTATTTGTGGAAATCAAAAGCCATTTGCTCCTGGTCATGTCCCTCTCTGGTCATCTCCTCTGAAATGATCAGTTTAGCTTTAGTAATTATGTTTAATCTAGCTTAGATTTTCTATTGATCAAAATCTGTAGACAAGAAAAATCAGTGAAATTTAGTTTGAATCATGGTAATGCATATGGCCTAATCTTAACCCTGCCTGTGACCTTGCATTTTTAACATACATTCTTCAAACCTGTTCATCCGCATTTAACCAATGGGGATAACAGTAGTAAACTCACAAAGATTCTTTGAGGATTAAATAATGAATGTGAATCTTTAACCCTATTCTGGGGACTTACTGATCCACCAATCAAAGGTAAAAAATATTATTTAGAGGTCCAACTATATAATTTTGAAAAATCATGTTTTAGTATATGAGTATTCAGTCATTAATAATGAGGCAACTTTTTACTATTTAATGGAAGAAATTTCCAGAAATATTTGAAAAGATTGCATAAATATTATAATAATTAAAGAATAGCCAGATTGGAGTAGGACAATAAAGTATAATTCAATGGAGTAGGACAATAAAGTATAATTCAATTCTATAATAATTATTATAAAGATGACTTTATTCAATAAATATGTAAAAGTCACATTTTATGCTAATTGTTATGCTATTAGATTATGATGATGTAGCAAATGTAATATACATTTTCAGTTATTTCAGCATCAGTGATAAAACAATGAACAATAAACTAATATGCTTTGAGACCATGAAAAAATTACTAGAAATATAAAACAATTGTATATAGTAACATAGCACACTTAATTTTGTCTTGGATAAAGTAATGGAAAGGCTAACTAAAAACATGAGTGTGATATCTGAAACCCTAGCGCCCTTGATTTTTATTGCTCAGTCAATATTCCTTTATATTTACCATTTATACTGTTCTTCTGTCTCCTGCATATCTTTTCTTATCTGGGAGCATTTTTATTCTCATCAATAACTCTGCTTTTAGTCCACACGAATGTGGTATTGTCTCCAAAAGTAAACAGGTTTTGAGGAATGTGAATGGAAAGGGAAAAAGAAAGAGAAGGTGATTTCCAATAAAACTAGCCTGGTGTGTGGTTCACACTTATAGTTCCAGCATTTTGGGAGGCCAAGGTGGGAGGATCACTTGAGGCCAGGAGTTTGAGATCAGCCTGGGCAGCATATCAAGACCCTGTTTCTACAGATAATTTCAAATTAGCTGGCCTGAAATCCTGGGTACTCAGGATGCTGAGGCAGGAGAATTGCCGGAGCCTGGGAGGTGGAGGTTGCTGTGAGCTGAGATTGTGCCACTGTACTACTGCCTGGGTGATAGAGCCAGACCCTGTCTTAATGAAATAAAAATAAAAATAAGAAAAGATAGGACTACTTGAGATTATTATATTCAAAGATAAGGAATTATTTTGTTATTAAGTAGTCAATAAGGGAGAAATTTTAGATTTCTGAGAGAGGAAGTAGTATGTGATTAGAAAGCCAGCCCTGAAGGCGTCATATAGGATGAATTCAGAGGGAGACATTATTTGTCCATCTTAAACTGAGGCAGTGTTTACAAGCACCCATTGGTTTGTAGAAAATTATCAATTTAAGTTCAACAATAGGATTTATTTATAATAATTAATTGTCGGAATAAGATAAAAGTGGTACAAAATACAAAACTACCTACAGAAAAAACTTAAACCATTTTTTTTTGGCAGGATGCATTGCACTGCCAAATAAACATTGACAACCGTTTCCTGGAAGGAGTGAATTGAGGTCACATTATGTTTACTTACTCTAGAACAGCAAACATTTACTAAGAGTTCACATTGATGCTTTATGTGCCATTTACCATGCTATTTTGTTTAATCATGAGAATACATTTAAGAATTAATAATATTTATGTCACTGTTTTACATATGAGGTAGTTGGTGAAATTTGGTAATTATCAAATGCGCTCATTGTCACACAGACACTGGCCACATGGAAATCTGAATCCAGGGAGTCTAATGACAAAATTCACTCATGGAGTTTTTTAAGCCAATGTTATATTTATGTCAACTCCAAGAGCACAGTTTATTCTTCTGTATCAATTACATCAATATCATCATCTCCGTTTTGAAATATTTTCATCTTCATTGTCATAATAAACAGTATTGGCACACGTTTAAAGGGCCTATGTTTTATAAGGCAAAGTGCTAAGAACTTACCGCAGCAGCCACTGTGTTCTATGGGAACAGAGTGATACAAATTACTCAGTACTCTCATATTCCTGAATGATTTCTGTCAGACAATTTCATTCTAGGCAAGTTTCTATTAGGTAGGGCTAAGCCAGAGGTGATTCTAATTCAAGCATTGTTCAAGGAGAATATTACATTCTCTTCAGCTCTAAGTCAGAGGTGATTCTAGTTCAAGCATTAAGGAGAATGTTACATTCTCTTTGGCTTAGCTTCACAGTTGAAGTACTGGAAAAGAAGTGAAAGTAGTCATTTCTTAATTTTGAAAGAGAGACAGGAAAGGAAGGTCAGTGTACAGGAAGTATAATAAATGGTAAAAAGATAAAATGTGGTGGAGATTAAGGAGAGTCAATACCTGCATACAAATCATGATCCTGTCCTACAAAGGATAATCAACTGCTTAGTTAGCCAGGTATTGTCCAGGCTTTGCCACTGAAAGGCCCATATCCTAGGAGACCTCTCAGTCTTAGGCAAACTGGGAAAACTGGTCACCCTAGGACATCTGAGGCCAGTGCAATTCCTGTCTGAAAGCATTTTATTCTCTATGTTTGGGAAGACATAATTTTTCAAATTTACATTGTTTTCTAAGTTTTCAAAGAGATCATTTTTTTAAATTCAACTCTGAATGTACACTCACCTTTTTACAGAGTCTGTCACAGATTCTTATAATAGGTAGCCTATGAACACCAAATGAATAAATAAAATCCTTGTATAGCTCTATTTTTGAGAGGTGTTTTAAGCAGCTTAGAACATTCTGATACAATGAGAAGTTTTGCAAGCTAATTCTTAAACCATTTAGCTAACTCTTTATGCTAATTAAAGAAAGGAGATATTCTAAAACAATTTCTCATACATGTTAAGTATTCCCATAACTTGGTAAAGTATATTAACCTAAATTTAGTTGACTTTCTTTTAAACTCCAACTTTTGCATATTTGATATGAAAGGAAAAATTTTGAAAGGCAGGCAGGCAATATAAATATATGCATCATCAATGTTTTGATACATTCATAGCATAAAATCTCCTGTTTTGAATTAAACTACAATCCATGGATGGATTTTTTTTTATGCTATGACTAAAAAGGAATTAAATATGTTACCTGACTCAAAAATATCTCTATTCAGGCCATTATTTTATGGTAAACTTAAGAATTAGACAATATGTCCATAAATACTCACTGTAGTTTTTTGCAGAGTATTGCCATGTTCAAATGGTGACCTGTATTAAATCACTGGAAAAAACTAAAAGTACAGTAACCCTTACCAGTTTGCTATCAAAGTAATTCTTTCATACTTGCTGAAGTAATGGTTTATTTATACTTAAGATCAAAGAAAAGCATGGTTCCTGACTCAATGACAAGGCGCCCCACGGAAGAGCATCTTGAACTGCTTTGCTATTAGCTACATTAAAATGTGTCCCAGAGGAACAGTTTTTAAAAACACTGAACTAATACTAATTATGATGTACAATCACTTGGTCTTTGTGTGTCAACATTTTTCTATGAATACCAAAAGGTATCCCAACAAAATGTCTTCATGGAGTAGGAAACCTGAATAATGAGACAATGCAAATCCTGGTGGGAGATTTAAAGAATAAATGAATGG